GTCGAGCTCACCGTTACACCCGTGTTGTCGTTATCGGCACTGAACTGACCGTAACGCGCTCAGCCGTCGCTTGAATAACATCGCTTGCATACTGCCCTCCGTCGTCGGTGCCGACATAACCATGAAATGCTCCCATAGCCAGAGGCGGAACCCAATGGGTTCCAGGGGGGGCAATTGCCCCCCCTCAAAAAAATTTTTTTAATTTTTTTATATGGTGTTTTTGATAATTTAGCCATTTTTATTCATTTTTTAGTCTTTATTACAAGGATTTTCAGGCAATTGCCCCCCCTAAAAATTTTAAAATACTATGGTCTTTAGGTAATTGCCCCCAACAGGTCCAACCCCGCCAGGGGACACTGTCCCCTTGGACCCCCGACATATATGTCTTATAAGTTTGCCCCCCTGAAAATTAGGGATGGTTCCGCCCCTGCCCATAGCTGTCGTTGCCTGCAGCATATTGTTTCCTACATTCCACCCTGACCATGGTCATTGTCGCTGGCGCCAAGCATCTAACGCCTCACGTTGCCATTTCACTTGCTCGTTTTTAAAACAAAATGAGTCCTTGGGTCGGGTTGGGTCAACTCGGTAACCCGCGCAGGTCGAGTTCGGGTTGGGTCAACTAGTGTCGGGTCAGTTCCAGATTGAACCCGAACCCGACTCGTGACCCGATTTTGACAATCCTATCTGAGATGACAAAATTCTCTTAAAATTCTAATTCTATAATTGATAAAAATGAAACACTTTATATTTTATTGGTATCTATTTTATAGTTTAAGTTTGACTCTAAATAACTATTTGATAAACTTATATTTTTTGGAAGGAAATTTTTAATCATACATGATAAGATGAATATTTGTAGAAAATATATTAATGAGAGGAGAACAAAGTATGTGCGAGAGTTTGACATTTGGAGAGGAGAATGAGAAGAAATGGTGGTCGGCTCCGTTTATTTCAATAATTAATTTGCAATCAGATACAAATGGTCGCAAAATCCGTCTCAAATGATACCAACATGTTGTACTATTGCATTATAATTTAATTTCTTTTTAAAATAATAATATTATAGCAGTGATTATGACTGAACATAGGGTTTGATGACATAAAATGTTTGCCTTCTGATGATCCGATTAGAAGAATATATGTATTATATTTAGACTATGACTCGATTAGAAAGTATTATAAATAGTCTTTTTTATTATATTTATGTGAGAATTTGATCCTAATAGGACACAATGGAGAAAATTAATTATTGTAGTCGACCCACGCAATGGGAAAATTATTAGGTCCGGTCACCGGACGTAGACAAGAGGTCCGGAGACAGGTCCGAACACCAATAAAATAGTGACATGTGGAATGTACACGTGTCCGTGGAATTTTAAGTTAAACGCGTCAAAAGCGCAGTCAAAAAGCGTAGTCAAAGTCCAGTCCACATGGCAAGTTTTAATTGGATGTCCGGGCCTATTTTTAGGTCCATTACTGGACCTAATAATTGATGTTATTGCTGCTAACTTTTATTAATATTAAATAATGCTATGTTTGAGAGTTATGAAAGAAGCCTAATTTTCGGATCGATTAAAGCTTGGCATAAACCTTAGCCACCCTCAAGAGCATATTAAGCTATAAACTGTGAAGAGTTTCTTTACTCAGCAATCTATAAAGCCACGTAAATAAATGATGGCTTCGTTTGAGACAGTTTTAGATCACTATTTTTTCTCTTTTTTTAAAAAAAATTGTACTAAAAAGCAGCTTTACAAAGCAATAAGCAAGTCTTCCCGAACGAAGAGAATTCATCATTTTATTTATTGATTTGAATTCCAAAAATATCCCTACAATCAAAAATATGTTTAAAAAGTAATAAGAAAGCTGTCCCCTTGGACACCCCACATATTTGTGAAGAGTACCACGATCAAGAATATGAACAAATAGGAGTCGAACCAAATTCAAGACAACTCTAACATACATTTTGTAGAAATTAAATGATTAATCAATTACATCATTTTGATTTTTTTAGTCGTTATCGACTCATTTTCTTTTTGTCTCTACTTTTTTAATCACTATTGATCTATTTTCTTGTAGTGAAAGGTCAAGACAACATCAACCATTACTTATTGATTTGAACTCCCCCCACTGAAAATTAAGGTTGATTCCATCGATTATTCTGTGCGGACAGGGGCGGAACCCCTTTGCAGCAATTTATAAAGCCAAGTAAATAAATGATGGCTCGTTTGAGCAGCTTTAGATAACTATTTTTTCTCAGCTTTTCAAAAAATTTATACTAAAAGGTAGCTTTACAAAGCAATAAGCAAGTCGTCCCGAACGAAGAGAACTCATCATTTTATTTATTAATTTGAATTCCAAAAATATCCCCTACAATCAAAAATATGTTTAAAAAGTAATAAGAAAGCTGTCCCCTTGGACACCCCACATATTTGTGAAGCGTACCACGATCAAGAATATGAACAAATAGGGGTCGAACCAAATTCAAGACAACTCTAACATATATTTTGTAGAAATTAAATGATTAATCAATTACATCATTTTGATTTTTTTAGTCGTTATCGACTCATTTTCTTTTTGTCTCTACTTTTTTGGTCATTATTGATCTATTTTCATGTAGTGAAAGGTCAAACCAAATTAAAGACAACATCAACCATTACTTATTGATTTGAACTCCCCCCACTGAAAATTAAGGTTGATTCCATTGATTATTCTGTGCGGACAGGGGCGGAACCCCCTTGCAGCAATTTATAAAGCCAAGTAAATAAATGATGGCTCGTTTGAGACAGCTTTAGATAACTATTTTTTCTCAGCTTTTCAAAAAATTTATACTAAAAGGTAGCTTTACAAAGCAATAAGCAAGTCGTCCCGAACGAAGAGAACTCATCATTTTATTTATTAATTTGAATTCCAAAAATATCCCCTACAATCAAAAATATGTTTAAAAAGTAATAAGAAAGCTGTCCCCTTGTCAAAATTTGTTTCGGGGGCGCGGGCGCTGTCCCCTTAAATCCACACAGGGGCGTTGCCCCTTCACCCCACAACCTGACCAAGCAGGTCGAACCCAGTTATAGGGCGCTGCCCCCTAGCTTGGACCCCCAATATATGCCAACAGTTACTTATAAGTTTGCCCCACCTGAAAATTATAGTTAATTCCGCCCCTGTGTGCGTACACTGGACGGGAAACCGTCCAGCTCCGCGTTTGGTACCGAGCGGCACCGAGTGCTCGGTACCAAGCGCCGTAATTTTTTAAAGTGACGTAACACATTTGTATTGATCATCGGATGAATCCAAATCCGCACGTAATAATTTTTCCTCATTGAGAGCCTCAGGCATAGAAAATTCATTGTTCACTCTCTTAGTTTCTTGCTTTCTTCTCAAGTCACTCACTCCCTCAATCTTTCTCTCATGCGCTGAAGTTCTCATCTTACTTTTTCCCAAATCAAATCAGACATCTCTTCAGTCAAATATTTTTCATAGCTCTCAGGCGTCACATTATTTGGCATCAACAAATAAACTCATAAGGTTCCATCCAATCCAAAATCTTCTGTTTATTATTTCGCGCAGTTTGTAATGAACCATCAAGACTGCAAAGCTATTCACCAGCTACAGTACTACCTTCTGATTTTTCCTCGACAAAGTAGCCCAATTCGAAGACTGTCTTTCCAAGTATTGGCCTCAAATATTAGCTGACCTAAAAATCTGGTCGCTCATTTTTTTTAAAAAACTATTATGGTTGATGCTATAGCAAAGATTGTTTAACAAATGAAAATGAATATTTTTTCCTATAATGTCATAATCAAATGAATTTAAGCTCTTTAATTTGGTCTCATCGAATAGCTCGATTTGACTATATGCACACATAAATGAAGAGTATTTTGTCATTTAATTAGTTTTCAAATATACTTCTCGTGCTTGATTGAAACTCATTTGAAGCTATATCTGATTATTTGAGGTATCGATGAATTTGTCTCATCGAGCCATTCAGATTAGTTATAATTTTGCTGAAATTAGAGTTTAGTTGATTCTGATGTTAATTAGGAAAGCTTCCATTTCAAATAGTACCTTGATATTTGTGACAATCAAGCAAATTTTTTGGAGAAGTATCATCGAGAGAAAATATTTTGTTTAAAATTGAATTTTTGTCTAATTAAGGTTTTATTTGGAATGATTTTTTTACTGCTTTTTAAAATAATTTTTTAATAAAAAATTAAAATTTTCGTATTAAAAAACTGCTTTAAGAATCACTAAGAATGTCGTCTCAAACCAAGCCTTAAATTGAGTGTATAAAACTCAACATGTTTTTCATACTTTTTATAAAGATTTTTTTAATGAACATTTTTTTCAAATAACTTATAAAAAATCTTATAGTTATTTTTCCAAAATATGCCTAAATTTTTGATATAGCAAAAGAAAAAATAATGATGAAACACTATATTAATCTTTTCAAAATCTTGGATTTAGATAAATAATCTCTAATTTTTCAATATAAAAAATAAAACATCAACATATTTTTATCTTTTCATACTAAATAATTAATAGAAAAAAATATAGTTAAGAGGTTCAAAAAATTTCATACCATACATGCAAAAAATTCATATTTCACTCATTTTAAGACAAATTTATAAATTTTAAGACTCGTTTAATTATTTTTTATTAAAAATATATTGATTTTAAAATATAATATAAATAAATTAAAATACAAAATATATATTTTATATAAATACATAAAAAATATGCATGAAAATCCTCCTAATTCTAACGTATTCTTTGATTCAAAAGCACAGTCCTAATGAAAACAAAAAGACGCTCATCCAACTCTTACAGGACAAAGCGCCAATGGCGGTTTGGCCTTTGGGACTCTGTTCCGTTTAAAAAGCCGTTAACTGGACCTCGTAAGCTACAGAGACAGAACAAAAAAAATATACGAAAAAAGAAAAAAATAAGGAACAGAAGCAAAGGGAGCCGAAGCGGGATAGAAACAGGAAAACAAGAAGCAGCAAATGGACCCAAGCGATGCCTTCTCCGCGAGCTTGTTCCGTTGGGACCCTCGCGCTGCGGCGGCAGCACCACCAGCCGCCGCACAGTCCTGCCCTGCCGTTATCTCCATGGCCCTACAAGCCCACCATCAAGCTCAAGATGGCCCACCAACGGCATCGGCGACAGCGGCCGAAGCCGCCCGAGCTGCCGCGCGGGAGCTGGAAGAGGTGTTCGAAGGGTACGGTGTTCGGTATGCGACGGTGGCTCGAATTGGGGATTTGGGGTTTACAGCGAGCACTCTGGTTGGGATGCGGGAGGAAGAGGTGGACGATATGATGGCGACGCTTTCGCATCTTTTCCGATGGGATCTTCTTGTCGGCGAGCGATATGGAATCAAAGCGGCGATTAGGGCAGAGCGCCGCCGAATTGAAGCTCTCATTTTTCCAACAACCGCCGGCGGGAATCACCACCACAATCATCATCACCATGCGGGTCACCTCCTCGCCTCCGGCGGGGGCACCGGCCATCACCATTTACTGCCTGATGATCCGAGAAGGAGACTTCTTCTGCTCTCACCCGACCAACACAACGCCCTCGACGCGCTTTCCCAGGAAGGTACAAACTCCTCTCGTTCTTTCTCGTTTTTTGGCAAATTATGGCTAAAGCTTAAAATTTTGATTATGAGGGCTGAAGTGCAATAAGTTTACCTTATTTTCTGGTTTCAACTGCGAGAATTCCATCATCTTTTCAAAACTTCTTTCCATGTTTTTAAAATTCCTTTTCTCTTACGTATCTAAATAATTTTGGTAGTTAATTAGGTTTTAACACTCAATGGAATAGGAGTAACGGCTCTGTATTTCTTTCTTAATTCAAAATTAAAAAAAAAAAAACTAAATTTTGAAATTGATAGATTCATAATGAGCTGATATAGTTAAACAGGACTTATAGCAGTTAAAAATTATAATATGAGTTTATGACAAACAATACAACACAGCATTGTTCACATTCTGTCATGTTAAAGAACTCTTACTTTTATATTTTTCTGAAAAGATATCAAATTCTGATTTAAGTTTCTCGGCAATTGTTCCATTAAATGCTATTCAGTTATTTCCTGTACATAGTTGATCAGTTATTTCTTGTTATAATTTGTTCAATTATAATAAATAAAATTTTATATGTTTTCGGATAAGGCTGATTTGGATCTCTTTCATCAATTGCGATAACAGGGCTTTCGGAGGAGCCGGTACAGCTTGACAGAGAAACCGCCGGAAGCGGTGGCGAGGCGGCGGGGAGATCAAGAGATGGAAAGGGGAAGAATCCTCAACGGCGAAACATGGGGAAAAAGAAGGACGGCTCCAGTATGAAAAACAAGAAGAAGAAGAAGAAATGTATGGAGGATGAGGATGAAGAAGAGGAGGAGGTGGAAATGTGGAGGAGAGCGGCGATAGGCGATGACAACGATGATGGTAATGACGATGGGGAGGAGTCGGAGTCGGAGAGGAGCTTCGCAGGGGAGAGGCAGAGAGAGCATCCGTTCATTGTGACGGAGCCGGGGGAGGTGGCGCGAGCGAAGAAGAACGGGCTCGATTATCTCTTCCATCTCTACGAGCAATGCCATGAGTTTCTGCTCCAAGTCCAGGCCTTGGCGAAGGAGCGCGGCGACAAGTGCCCCACTAAGGTGAGTGAGCTTTCTACACCCGCTTTTGAAACAGCGACCAGTAGTTGACATGTGGAGGAAATTGAGTGGGGGCCTAGATCCAAACACTTTCTTAACTCCGCTTTTTATCTAAATTTTCCTAAAAAAAATACTTTGATTTTTTATTTACAACTAATATTGAATTAAAATATAAAATTCAACAAAAAAGACAATATTAAAATAGTATTTATAAGTATAAAAAATATGATTTTTTTAACATTTTGTGTGGATAAAATATAATTTTTATTTAATTATTTGATAGAGTACTATAGCTTGCAAAATTTATAATCAAATTTGTTAATAAGACCATTAATTCCAACATAACAATTTTCACATTTAATTTTATGTTCATAAATCTCTAATATTGTAGCAAAAAATTATGAGCTTAATTATATAAATGGGTGCATGTGATTTAATTTATGACTTATAATCAAATTATTTATTACAAAATATAGGCAATGGAAAGAGCTTAAATATAAAAGGATTATTAACAAATATAAATATTATAGCATTGGAGAGATTAATGGATATTTTGCCAACTAATTACCTTCAATATTTTATCAAATTATAATAACTTTTATTAAAAAAATTATGTCAGCCTATCTCAACGTATATTTTTTTATTTTTATTATAGTGCCCACTTAAAAAAAAAAAATCTTACACTTTCCTAATGCTTGTTATATCAATGTAAAATGATTTTCTTGGAAGTTTTTATTTAAAAAAAAATAGCGGGGTATCAATTAATTTAGGCTTTAAGTTCTTAAAACTATTTCAATAATTTGAATATAAAAATATTTATATTAAGATTTTGTTTGAAATAATTTTCTTTTTATTTAATCAAGTAAATTTTTGTATAAATATTTGATTTTATAAAAGCTGTCCCAAAATTTCAAAAAAAAAAAAAAAAAATCCTTAGCCTTTCTGCCTTGATCCTACGTGCGTAGAGTGTCTAAATTCGTTTGGCTCCATGGGTCTCTTTTGATGTGTGAAAACACATAACAGTCGAACGAGTGCAAAGAAAATTCCATTTTATATGAAGACATGTGAGTCTGTTGTTATTTGTAGTATTTATAATGTACGAACAAAAGTCACAATATATAAATTCATAACAAAAATATAAAGGTAAGACGTGAAATATATTATTATTATTATTATTATTATTATTTAATAATAATATATTTAATATTTTATTTAATGCTAGAATTTTTTTTTTTCCTATAATCCAAATTAATCTACTTGAGATCTTTCATAAAATTAAGAATAAGCAACATGTACTTGCATACAAATCAATTGAAATTATATTTTATTTAGGATTTTTTTCATAAAAAAATAAATTTATTCATAATTTAAATTTATATATTTATAAATATAAATTACACTAATCTTAATATAAATCAGACGACAATAAAGAACATCACGATATATTTATTTATTTTTAATAGAAAAAGAAGGTAAGGAGATTGAAATGTTGTTGCAGGTGACGAACCTTGTATTCCGGTACGCGAAGAAAGTAGGAGCAAGCTACATAAACAAGCCCAAAATGCGGCACTACGTCCACTGCTACGCGCTGCACGTCCTCGACGAGGAGGCCTCCAATGCCCTCCGGCGGGCTTTCAAGGAGCGCGGCGAGAACGTCGGAGCCTGGCGCCTCGCCTGCTACAAGCCCCTCGTAGCCATCTCCGCCGCTCACGCATTCGACATCGACGCCGTTTTCAACGCACATCCCCGCCTCTCAATCTGGTACGTGCCCACGAAGCTCCGCCAGCTCTGCCACCTCGCGCGCAGCTCCTCGCAGCCAAGCGCTGCCGCCGCGGTGGCTGCTGGAAGCAGCAGCAGTGCAGCGCTCCGCCCAGTCGGGGGATCTGAGTCGGGACTCCGTCCTTCCATGTTCTGATTAGAGGTTCATTGACGGTGCTTCTTCGGTATGTATTTTTATGCGCGTTTAGTTTATTATTAAATATGTATGTTTAGCTCAATGTTTAAGAAGTTGAAGGGGGAGTTTGTACGTACTTAAATCATTTCAGTTCATCTTATTTTGATGAAGATCTGCGTATCATTCTGAATTATTGTGACTGTCAAGCTAAATCAACTTGATAGTCGTGCTGATGCTGCACAAATTGGATGGAAAAGTGTTTTCCTTTTGTTTGGAAGCGCGTTCTGGAATGAGAAATGCTTGATGGACAAAATGATATTATTAAAATGGTGAAGGAGCAGATTTATTTGATTTGGTGAAAATACTCAAAATAGAAGAGGTTAGAGGGGTTAACATAATCAAACCTGCAGAAGTTTGGCTGGTTTCAAAAAAAATATATGACAATAGATTGACATATACAATTAGATATAAGCTTCGTTTGGGATAGTTTCTTTGTTGCTTTCTAAAACGACTTTTTAGTATAAAAATATCTTGAATTAAAAATTTTTGTACTAAAAAGCAGCTTTATAAAGTAATAAAAAAGTTATCCCAATGAAGCCATAATGTTTATTTCAAATTTATCAAATGATTACCTATTAGAATATTTGTCAAGAAAAGATAAGTATTTTGTCATCTTAATATTATATATAAATATAAAGGATTTACCTACATACAATTTTATATCATGTTATTTACATATGTAGCACCCAAATTTCTTTTATGTCATATCTATCACCTATAGACAATTTTAATATCAAACATGTTACTCGTACATTTCATTCATACACCTATACCACCCTATAAACTTTAATATTTCATTCCTTGCACTCATATTTGATATATGGATGGTAGGCATGAAATGTTAAAGTTTTGAGCATTAGATATGTACATAGCATAATATAAATTCCTTGTAAATATAACACATTTAGCTAGATATTAGAGTAAGATTCACAATAAACAAAATATTATTTTTTTAGAAAATCCAAAAATAAGAAAAGATGGGGTTTTTTCCTATGACATAAATCCACTATATTGGTTGAAAACTACAAAAATTCATCATTCTCTTTCACCAAAAAAAATGGGATTACAAGGGAAAATGATTGTTAAGGACATAAAATGGCCATAAAAAAATGGCTCTACCCAATCGAGGATAAAGTTAGGGAAACCTTTATACAAGTAAGTCGATCTTAAAACTTATGACCTCTGATGTGCTATGCTAGGGTTTCATTCCGGCAAGGCGCTCCCCTTTCTGTCACTGTGTTTGTGGCCTTCGATGCCTCTAATCACCTCAAGGAAGTTTCGTGCCCTAAATCCTTGTGTTTTTCGTAAATTTTGCTGCTCTTTTCTGTTTGTCTTGTTGTCATCGTTTTAATGGAGGGAAAACGGCTAAAAGATCCTTTCATCTACACACCTCGATGGATAATAATATGCATAACCCAAAAGTTCATGAGATTTTCCCTATTCGATACATCAGCATCGAATATATGATTTATTTGATTGTGGGGATCGGTTTCCTACGGGTGCAAGCCCCCGTAGTTAATTACATCTTAGACCTCAATCTAAGAAAACTCTCTCGATTAAGGACGTTAGATTATCTAGCTTCTCTAATGGGTTTAATGCAAAGGAAAATTCTAGGCTTTCCTAATCAAAGAGGAAGAATGTCTCAACTTGGCTCAATCAATCACACGTGGTTCAGTCAACAATCGGTCGGTCCGAGGAAGAGAAAACTGGAGAAAAAGAGAGAAGATACTGCACTCAGAAATGCACGAGAGAATGAAGGAGGTGGCGTCATCTATGTGATACAGATGGGTATTGTTTATAGCTTCTGAAAGAATGGAGAGCTTACCCATCAATAAGGCGTATAGTGGTACACATGTACCACTCACCTTTAGACCCTAAATTTATAAAAGATGTAGTATCGTACACATAATACTAGCATCTACGACCTAACTAATGCAATATGGACTTATTCCTTGCCTGAAAAAGGAAGTCAGCTAAAATCCTAAGCACAACCAATCGACTTATATGTATGCAAGATAGGAAGGCTTTATCCTAAGGAATCAAAGATTTGCAATTCAAATGATTTAAATCAAAGACTCTACAATATGAAAAGGAATATATCTAGCGTTGTATGATGCATGAAACAAATGCACAAGTAAGAGATGTTCTTAGATCCACTAATGCAATGCATGTAAGTAAAGTGTGTTGTGGAGAAAAATGTGTAAGAATAGATGTATGCATGACATCAAGAGTACATAAAAAATAAATAAACAAACCACGAGTACCCTCCAAGCAAGGTACCCGCATCAGAAAATCATCCTAGCGGTACCCACTTCGTGTGGGAAAATAGCGATGCTCGTGGCACAATAGGTGGCCTACTCTACAGGCCTAAATGACCCTAATGGTCTCTAAGGCTCACAGAAGGTGGGTGGGTATCAAACCCAAAACCGAAAAAGGCCAAAATCCTAGCGATGCCCACTTCGTGTGGGAAAACAACGATGCCCAATGGCACAACTAGGTGTCCTACTCTACAGGCCTAAATGACCCTAATGGTCTCTAGGGCTCACAGAAGGGGGGTAAGCTTTGACCTATAGGGCCAAAGCTTCGTTAGTGAACTACCCTAAGGCCAGCTACCTAAATATGCTAGAATACATATTAATAAGTCGTGTGTGATGTGTAGCAATTTTGATATCTAATTAAAAGAATTTGCTTTACAAGTTGCAGAGATTATACCTGATTGTGGCACTGCCACTTACAAGCTCATGAGCAAACAATTCCAGATTGTGGCACGGCCATTTAAAAGCTCCAAGCTAGCGAATTACCCCAATGTACATCGCAAGAAAAATGAAAGAAAAATACACAAATGAGCGTAAATGCCATTTAGAAAAGAAATGCAGGTAAATAAAAAAAATACAAATGATAGGAAATTTAAGAATTGCATTTATATAACACGTGCATATAGTAAATATTGAACGATAAAAGAAAATATCAGCCTAACCTAGGGCTAGAAGTCGTGTCCTAACCAAACAGGTCTAAGGTGTGTGTAGGTTGTGAGGTTTTAGATAGGTCCTATGTAGGATAATTTAGTTATAGTTGTTTGCATTTGATTTGTTAAATGACAAAAGGGATATTTTGATTGAAGTTCAAATATTAGTATTTTAGGATTGATTTTAGATATTTTATTTCAGGATTTGATTGATTACCACCTTTGTTTCACACCGAGGCCGTGAGGTTTATTTCATCCTCCTTGGGGCTAACTTAATAGCCTCGTAGGCCTGAGTTACCCAGTGATAATCAACTTTGTTCAATTATTTAGTTGGTTATGAATTAGAAAAGAAATGTAGATTAAGGAATTTATTACCAAAAGAGGTTTGTTGATTGATTTTAAGGATTGATCTAAGGTTTGATATTTACAAGTCTTTTATCCTAATGAATCTTAGTTTATATTTAATCTCCTAATTTTAGTTTACAGCTTTTAAAATTTAAATTGGTTAGGATATAATTATTAGATTAGTTAAATTTGATTTTAGGTGTATGCTTTAGCTTTTGTAATTTAGTGATTATAATTGTTAATTATAAATTAATTAAGAATTAAGTATTTCTCTCAATACATTTTAAGAGTTAGATCATAAATGATTGGTTGAATATTATTAATAGATTTAAGAAAGAAAGCTAAATCTAGGGAGACGTGTCGCTAAATTTAGTTTTTTAATGTCTCTATCATATAGGGAGCATGCATCCTGAGTCTATGTTATCTAAAACTCAGTCCTTAATTTTTGTCCTTATGTGTCACTAAGGTTGTAGGACTAAAAGGAGTTTTATTTTTTTTTCTAATCCTTAGGACTTTTGCACGTATGTCAATGAGCTTAAGAATCTATGCATGAAAGTATGATAAAAAAATAGCAAAGCAGTAGAAAGACGAGAAGTGGAAAGAAAGACGACTAAACACGATAGAAAAAAAAGAATGAAAATCAAATATAAAAGGAATGTAGGCATTGTTGTTATCGGACACACTTCTTTGAAGTCAAGTGTACCCTGAAGCAACATTTACAATGCCCTTTATTATTCTCACAATCCAAATAAGGCACTTGATTAAGACTCAACCCAAGCAACTCAACTACCCTCTAAATAAAGCTCCAATCGAAAAAGGGAAATAAACCCCCAAAATATACCTCTCACTTAAAACCCAAAACAACATGCTCTTACTACCCACTAATCCAAACCCATCTAGAAAACAAGTGCAAGCAAGAAGAAAGACAACTCCCCCACGAAATATCACCTCGTTCTAAAAAGACATCAACAAATCTACCACACAAAGCCGATCATAAAGCTCTAAACACCAAAATCTACTCATGAAACCTCCAAATAAAAGAGGAAGAATGTCCCAAAAGTTCACGAGATTTCCCCTATTCGATACATCAGCATCGAATAGGATTTATTTGATGATATGTATAGTTTCATGTTGGGGTGTGTTGTTGATCAAGCAGTACTCAATGGCAGTGGCAAAAGATCGACGTAAACGTAAACCTATGAAGAAATAGTCTTTGGGTCACTACAGGAAAAACGCCAAAATCCGGCAGTTTTTTCTGGCGGTTACTATAGATTAACCGGCGGTTTTATGGATTACAGGCGGCTTTGCGGCGGTATTCCAGCCGCCGGAAAAAATCGCGTAGGAAACATGTACCGGTGGTTTATGTTGGTGGCGATTTTCCGGCGGCTCATACCGCTGGTGAAAACCGGATTTCGAACCGGCGGTTTTCCGACCGTTACGCCGCCGGTTATCTGACCGACGGCTGACCGACGGTCATATTACCGACGGTCTTCCGGCGGTTAAAGCGGGCGTCGTTTGTTTCTTAAACCGCCGGTAGATCGCCGGTTCATTTACTGGCGATATCTGGCGGTTACAGCCGTCGATATTACCGACGGTGTACACCGCCGGACGTCCACCGTAACACCGCCGGTGGCCGTCGGTAGCCGCCGGT